GAGATGGAGAGAGAAGTGGAGCAATAGTCTTTCAGCTTTGCTTGAACGTTCGTCTGAATGAGAAATAAAACGAGGGAAGTTCAAAAAATATATCTTATATTACAAATATATTGAGTCGTTTTGGGCGAAAAAAAAAAATTTGAATTACAAATTACGGCGTGCTCATCGCACGTCGTAATATATATTTGCATTTACGGCGTATTTATAATCACGTCGTTAAAAGACACAAAAAATTACCCTTTTACGGCGTGTTTATATATGCCGCATATATAAATTATTAACGGTACACTTTACTATCTTTTTAAGGCGTTCTTTGTTATATGTCGTAAATATCAGTTATTTACGACACGCACAAAAAACATGCCGTAAATATCAAGTCGTAAAAGCTCTAATTTGGTGTAGACAAGCACCATCAACAAAAAGAAAAGTCACACAACAAACTCTAATCAAGGTGCTTGGCCGTCATCAATCCTCTGCTTAATTTATCATGAACCAAATCCTCTGCTTAATTTTTCTTTACAAGAATTTGCTCGACGTGAAAATATATGACCTTTAAAATCCCCAAAGCAAAGGGCACAATTTAAATCAATACACAGACAAAATAAAATAATTAGTACATGCAGGAGAACAACTTACACAACACACTGATAGAGGGCCATGTGAAAGGTAATCTCTCCCTATAAATGACTGACTAGTGTCACCGAATATTTACGTGTAAGTAAATATCGGGCCAACTGAGTGCTATGTAAAGAAATAAATTTAATTTAACAGTTAGACTAGCGGAGAGGTCAATAGTGTAAGGATTCATAACTTAAGGTTGTTTTTGGTTAAGTATTAAAAGAGATAAACCAAACTGTATTCGGCGTACTCAAACCCAAGATGTGTAAAGTATAGTTGGAAAAAAAAACATACAATCAACAATTGGAACACATTTTTGCTTGGTTGGATTCTTAACTTGGCACAATATTCACCAATTGAAAAAAGAAAAAAGAAAAATCAAATATTGATAAAGAAGACAAAAAAGGCACCGAAAAGAAAAATTGTGAGAGTGTGTCGTGATCAAGGTTTAAAATATTGCAGGTTTCGAAAATATCGATAGTCCAAAAATACATAAATTTTGATGGAAATATCGGGATATTATTGATATCGGTACAAATTTAATAAAAACCACAGAAATTATAAGAAAAACTTGAAAATTTTTCTTGAAACTTTGGATGATGTTTATTTAGTCAATTATTTATTATTTTATCACAAAATAATTGGAAGGAAATGCATTGCATGATAAGTTTAATTGATTTAAGTTGATTATATAGCGAGCTGACAAACACTGCGAGAGTAGAAAATATGTAGTAATTAATGAAAGAAGATTAAACACACCATAATAATTTATTTATAATTATTTACTACAATATTTTACACTTTATACATTGGATGATAAGATACATGAGTGACTTCGTACCACATAGAGTTCCTATAAGGTTTAAATTTGAGTTATTTACACTAACACCTCCTGAAGTTTTCGGTGGTGGAATGTTTGGCTAATGGTTAAGCTGACCTGGCATTATTGTTAGGTTGTTAAAACGACTCACGTGTTTAGTTTTAAGTCTGGTAGATTAGTTAGACTTTTTGCTAGAAGTGTAACTTTACTGTGTAAAACGAATTATTCAGAAATAAGAAATATAGAAAATTCAGATTTGGTTTCTCTACTTTCTCTCAAAATTCTCATGAAACTTCTCCTTTATTCTATATCTTCAACCTCTATTAGCATGGTATCAGAGCAGGTTAGCCCACGTGTGAATGCCCAACGGCCACACGTGCTCCACGTCACCCAATATGAGTTGTCCACGTGTTAGCATGGGTGGCCGTCAACATAAACCAAATGTGGAAGAATTGATTTCATTGTGTATTCACAGAACAAGAGTTACAGCTTTATACTAGAATTGTACAAGACATTCCTATGCTATTGCCTACAATTATGAGTAATCAAATACAAACACGTGGACAACTCATTTCGATTCACTTTGAAGACATTCCTATTCTATTGCCCACAATTTGGAAACCACATGGGGTATTTCAACAAATAAGTCTAAAAAATAAAGGGAGATTTAACCAAATGTGGAAGAATTGATTTCATTGTGTATTCACAGAACAAGAGTTACAGCTTTATACTAGAATTGTACAAGACATTCCTATGCTATTGCCTACAATTATGAGTAATCAAATACAAAACATGTGGACAACTCATTTCGATTCACTTTGAAGACATTCCTATTCTATTGCCCACAATTTGGAAACCAAATGGGGTATTTCAACAAATAAGTTTAAAAAATAAAGCGAGATTTAGTTTTAAAACACAATATACTTTACAAATTTGGAAGATAGGAATTCAATTTCATCTAATTAGCATAAGGCAAAAACCAAAATGTAGTACCTAATTTTACAAAAATATCATTAAAAAATATCAAAATTACACACAATGCCACTCCTTCTAAGGCTAGCATATTATGCCACATGTCCATATCTAGCCAACGCCGGCCACCTGCCACCACCACCGCCGAACTCCCGTTGCCGGCCACCTGCCACCACCACCGTTGGCTGCCACCGCCCGTCGCCGACCTTCCACCGTCTGTAGGAGACCAACTCTGTTGTCCTTTATTCACCTTTAAAAAAAAAAGATTTTGTGTCATTGAATAGACTCGAACCTTGACCCTCAAAGGAGGAAGGCTCACTCACAAACCATTATACCAAACTTGATTTTGTAATATTTATTCAGTTATGCAATACTTATATAAACAATCAACGGTTAAAAAAAAAAAAAATCATTTCAACACTTATTCACACAAAAACTGCAAATAAAAACAGAAACTGCAACAAAAATACAATGTAGATATCAATTATGTTAAAAAAACAAGGAAAGAACAAAAATCAAATTGCAATTAAATGAAAACTGCAAATCAGTTTCCAAAAGTCCAATTTTGAGTTCCCTTGCTCTTGGGTATCTCTAATCTTCTCTTACCCACTCAATTCCTCATATGGGTAGCCTCTACTCTTCAAATTGGCGAGGTTGAAGGCCAAGGAAAGAACAAAAATCAAATTGTAATTAAATGAAAACTGTAATGTAGTTTCTGAAACTGCAACGCAGTTTCCAAAAGTCCAATTTTGAGTTCCCTTGCGCTTGGGTAGTTATACTATTCTCTTGCCCACCCAATTCCTCATCTGGGTAGCCTCTACTCTTCAAATTGGTGAGGTTGAAGACCAAGGAAAGAGCAAAAATCCAATTGTAATTACCAAAACTTCAATGCAGTTTCCAAAACTGCAATTTTGAGTTCCCTTGCTCTTGGGTAGTTTTACTCTTCTCTTGCCCACCCAATTCCTCATTTGGGTAGTCTCTACTCTTCAAATTGGTGAGGTTGAAGGCCAAGGAAAGAGCAAAAATTAATTTGATTTGCGTCAGCGCCTTCGGGCTGAAGCCCAGTCAAATTCTGCCCTTGGGCTGGTGGGACCCAGGGCTTGTCCGGGCTGCTTTTCCTGCACTGGAGGTCCAATTCGTGCTGGGGGGGCCTGTTGCCCTGGCAAAAAGGGCTGCGGTGGACTTGCTCTAACGGCAATTACACATTCTCATATCATTCTACCAGAACCTGCTGTAGAATTCCAGTTTCCTTCCAATACAAGAAATCAAAGTTCCAGTGCAGTAATTGTCACAATGTTGGATCAAGGTATGTGTTTTGAGTATATAAACCTAGAAAAGATTTACATAATAGACCTAACAAGTTCTCAGTAGACATAAACAGGGAATAAAAATGAAGCAATTCAAATTACCTTCATGCACCCGCCAGCCCACATATCACCATATCTTCCAATTGGCTCACCAATACCCATGAGTCCAAAGTACATTGCTGGGAAAATCAGTTCACGGTTGAATGCCAAGTTCATACCACACATAGGAAATAGAGTTCCCCCAGGTATGATCAGAACTACATCAACAAACCCGAAAAAAAAATCAAGAACAAATGAACAGGCAATTATGTAAAAACTCAAACTGCCACACCACTTCCATGAGAAAGATTGAGATGTGTGAAAGACACTAATAACCGGAACGAAATGCAAGATTCTCCAAATTAAGTGACACCATCTACACATGTGAATGGAACATAAGAAAAAAAGAAAAAGAAAAAAGGATTCAGTTGTGTCCATGCATTCCAAGTATTCGAAAAAAAGATATTCAACATGAACTCCTCCTGAAACACTAAGTATTGGGACCATTTTGACTCGTTTGAGGAAGTCAAATCCCGAACCCCTAATCTCTTATTTAAGTTACAAATTAAGGATCATGTAAAAATGCGCTCTTGACTTCTCTCTCTCCTCCTGTGTATAAGCCCAAATCCCTTACCACCATCTGTGTCTGTGTTTCTCTCCTTTCACCTTCCTTCCTCCACCCCAAAACACTACAAAAAAATAAAATAATAATAACACAAATAATTATTAAACAGACCAAACTAAGAATTCGTTGTAACATATGTGACATGTAATTAGTTTACCTAAAAATTAACTGAAGTTATGTCATGAAATTCATGCAGTGTCGCAAGACAATGCAGCTTTGATCCTCTCCACAGTGCAAGCAATCAGATTGTTAACTATTGCCACTGACCCGAGAGAGAGCTTGGCGGTCGGGGCATAATCAACCAGAATTTGAAAGGCAATAGTGAGAAGGGAACCACCAAAGCCAGAATCCCCCATGCCTCCTCCATCTGGAAGGATGGCAAAGCCAGAAGGAAGAAGAGCAACATAGTCAGGGTCACTCCCATTTAGTACCACATTCATGGCAACAATGTCCACTGGAGCATAAATCACAAAAGAAGCTGTTTGGTCTGTGCAACTCGCTTGCAGTATCAGCATGTTGCTCTGGCTTGAATTCGCACTCTACAAAATTAAGTTCATTTTTGAAAAGGGCAAGGTTAATAATTCATCAATTGTGATTAGGGGCAGAATATGGATTAATTAAGAAAATTAAAATAATAATAACAATAAGATCAAGCTACATTTACTCGCAGTAGAGACACGCAATTTACAGTGTCGCGACCATTAGCAATGTGTGCCATTTCTTGAACAATTCCACCATTGGAAAGAATGTCCCACTGCAACCACAAGTGATGAAGCTCAAGTAATTAGTCGAACCATTTTCTATATGTATTTCATGAATAATTTTAGAATACTAAACTTCCATCTTGGTTTTTCTCGGATTGACCGAAAAGAAAACAAGACCACACATTTTTCCTTTTCTGAAAAACAAATGTTTTCCATATTAGGAGTGTAGTGAAAATCATACACATTTTCCCATTTTAGAAAAATTACTTGAAATGTGCATGTGATTTCCAGATATGCTAATGCTTGTCCACTAATGGTAAGACTTTGTATGCATATGCCACGTAAAGAATGAAACCAACCGAATCCGCTCAAGTAATTAGTCGAACCATTTTCTATATGTATTTCATGAATAATTTTAGAATACTAAACTTCCATCTTGGTTTTTCTCGAATTGACCGAAAAGAAAACAAGACCACACATTTTTCGTTTTCTGAAAAACAAATGTTTTCCATATTATGAGTGAAGTGAAAATCATACACATTTTCCCATTTTAGAAAAATTACTTGAAATGTGCATGTGATTTCCAGACTACCAGGATCATCCACGCTCTTTCGGGTCATCACCCGAACATCATCAGCCCCGGTCCTAGACAGTGTTGTCCATGTGTGAGTGGTTGATGCGCTTACTCCAGCATAGAAGCTTATGACCATCCTTTCAGCCAATTTTAACATGCTTTTTCTGCCTTCTTGATTTGTAATCACTAATTAATCATGCATTTTTTTTTTAAAAAAAAAGGCTTAATTAATGAATCCACGTGCATGCACGGCATGCTATATTAGACACATGCAATCTTTTAAGAGGACGTCTCTCGTATTAAACAATACTACAACGTAGAAGAATAGCCCCACACAAAATTTTCTCACCATATATACAGAAAAAAAAATGGTTACACTGTAAATTATATTGTTCTTACCACCAACATCACCAGTAGGGATGTTTGATGCCAGGGAACTGGTAAGACGTTCACATTGACTGTCCAAGGTAGCGACCCATCGTTTCGCCCCAAATGTGTTGCTAGAGTTAACCAGCTGCTTGTACAGATTGTGAACACCACATTCATCCACGTCGACATGCTCAACCCATGTAACCTAAAGCACCAAAAGTTTTAAAATTAAATGACAAATAATGTAATGAGTTAAATACATGATGCAAGTCAAATATGAATCAGGGGAACACAACAAGCTGGAAACATGGAGACATAATTCATGCTTTGGAGATTGTAATTTATTGTGAATTGTGAATTGGGGTTTGTAACCAACGGATAGCTATCTAGCTATATGCCTATACTTGTAGATATATATTCAATATGTGCAATGAGAAAAATCAGATTTGCATTCTCTCCAAAACCTCTCTTATTTCACATTCTCTACTTTCTCAATTACACTATCTTTGGCATGGTATCAGAGCAATCGATTTTGGTTGCCTCTGCATAACCTTATTTTTGCCTAATCTCTACCTATCCTTACCCATTGCTGTTATATCATTCTTATCTCATACTTTGCCTTGCCTCAAAATTGGTCTTGATCACAAGTCCTATTTGTGCTCTTGTTTGCTGAAGTTCTAAGCTATTTTTTCTCTTAATCTATTTACATCATGGGTGACACCAACGACACAATCAACTCCACGGCCGACTCCTCTAAGATCGACTCCACCAAGATCGACTCCACAAATCCACCACTCCGGTCCTCTCATGACTTCTCTCAAATTACTCATGATAAGTTAATTACTCCTGATAAGTTGGATGGGTCCAACTATCCTGCATGGTCTCGTAGTGTTCGCTTGGCCATCACTGCTCGTCGTATGGCTGGTTTCATTAATGGTAAAAAGATTGCCCCTGCCATTGATGACCCTAGCTATGAAGCTTGGGATGAAGACAACTGTTTGGTGCAATCATGGCTCCTCAACTTCATGACAAAAAATGTACGTGCCTTATTTGATCATTGCTCAACGGCTTATGCGGTGTGGGATGCAGCTCAGAAGACATACACTGTTACTCAGAATAGCTCCAAGTTGTACCAACTCCGTCGTCAGTCCGTCACCACCTCTCAAAGTGGTGAACCTGTGAATGTCTTCTATGAAACATTACACGTAATATGGTAGGAAATTGATAGCCTCCGTCCCTGCAAACATACCAATCCCGATGATGTGGCTCTTCACCAACAAGCACTTGAAGTTGAACGTGTGTACGATTTTTTGGGAGGACTCGATCCCAACTTTGATTCTGTTCATAGTCGGATTCTTGCTATGAACCCGCTTCCAGCAGTCATTGAAGCTTATCCACTTGTGGTAGAAGAAGATAATCGTCAATCTTCCATGCTTGGCGGTGGAAGTGCAATGGCAGTCAAGCCCTATCGGCCACCACACCGTACGTCCTCCGGACTTCCCCCCCGGGGTCCCAAAACTGACGATGCAAAGGGAACTCAGAAGTGCACTCATTGTGGTGGCAATCATCTTGTTGAGAAGTGCTTTAAGCTTCACGGTTATCCTGAGTGGTGGGATGCTTTCAAGTCCCACAACAAAACACCCAAGGCAGCATGTGTTATAACTACCGATGCTTCTCCATCTTCCACCCTACTCTTCGACTCCGAATCAGGTACACGACCCACTACATGGATAATTGACATAGGTGCCACTGATCATATGACTTTTGACTCTACTATGTTTTCCACATTATCTTCTAAGTCTTGTCATCCATACATTACTAGTGCCAATGGAGTTCCTTCTAATGTTGCTGGTGAAGGAACTATATCACTTTCCCCTTCCTTATCTTTATCTCATACACTACTTGTTCCCTCCATCAATTGCAATTTGCTGTCTGTTGGAAAATTACTTGACTCACATAATTGTTATGCCACATTCTATCCTTCCCATTGTATTTTTCAGGACCTCACGACTCACGCGACGATTGGGCATGGTAAACGAAGAGGGGGGTTGTATTCCTTGACGGTCTCTTCATCACCAAGGGCAGCTCATACTCA